AGTAAGCCCAGCTGCGATGGAGATCTGCCTCCTCCTCGCCACAAGCGCACCTCTGGCAGTCCGTGGTGTCCAGCTTGCTACTGCTCAGAGTGGCTATCCTGCTGCGTGTTCAAAAGGCCCCCGTCATGACTGCCTCGATGGCACCCGCCATCTAGTTCGCCTTGCTTCCGCAAGAAAGCGAAGTACCGACGCGCATCTCGTAGATCAGCTCCTTCTGATCGGCCCTTGTCATCCCGGTGCATCGAAGCTCTGCCCCATAATAACATCCGATCGATGGTGTCCGGGATTTCGTCTTTGAGGGCGCTCATGTCTTGGGGTCTTTTCCCTGTGATACTGTCTGGTGCCATGAAGCGCCCCCCAGTATCTGATGTCCACGCCCGAGGACCCACAGGTCCCCAGCCAATGTCCAAAAAGCGTGGCGATCGTAGCAGAAGCCACTCCAGTGATGCCACGCCATCCGTCTTCCTGCGCTCTGTTGTCGATCCTCCTCCTAGCCGTGCACCGCGTTCGCCGTGCCAATTCCAGATCGAACCCAGGTTTGAATGTAACAGCCATCCACGACTCAATCAGCCTGTGCGCAATCTGGTACTGCGGGCCCCTCCTCCCCACTCGAAGTTGCAGCAGGGTGGCAAGGCAACGACCAGGCCACTTCTTGGCCAGGGTCTGCCCGGGCGCCTTCCTCCAGCCGTTGATAACTGAGGGAGCCGCGCCGAACGCCTGGTCCGGGTCGCCACCCATCGGTAGGATACCCATCATAGCGAGCTTGGCACCAATCTTCTTCCGAACAGCTCCTTGTGCAAAGCGCTGAACGCGGTTGAACCGATTTTATGCTCCCCGTCGACGCTGAGCTTGCTTGGGGCGTCGGAAACCAACTGTGCCCCGATCGATGCCAAGGTCCGTGGCGACGCTCTCAATCTTGACCGTGAAGCCTTCTGTGGCAAAGCCCTGCTGAAGTGCTTTCCCCAGGTCAACTTGGTTGGTGACGATGGTAGATTCAGTCGAAATAACCACACCCGCGTCGGTACATCCTTTGGCGAAAGTGAGTCCTGCCTGCAAGGCCAGACCGAGGGCCCTCTTGTACTTCCCTTCACGCGCTGAGAAACATCGCCACCCCAAGACCGCGTAGTCGCCCCTGGCGCGCCTCGGGCAACTCGTTCAATCATGTTGTACAACGAACGCCTTGAGAAATCAACTGCACCTCCCAACCCTGCGATCATACTGTGCTCGGGGATGATGACGTCGGAGTAGTAACCGCTATCACGTAAGAAGCGACTTCCCGTGTGCAGGGCCATCTCCAATGCCAGAATACCAGGGGGAAACTCATGCTCCAGGCCTGATTCAAGCAGTAATTTCCACTTGAGTGCGTCATATAATCCTTTCATATCCCACATCGTACTTGCCTGCACCCAGCCTTGAATCGTAGATAGAGCCGCAGTCTCGCCCAGGTAGCTGCGCATCAGGGTCTCGCGTACGGCAGACGATCCTGCCACAGCAGCGTTCCAGCTCTTTCACGAGTCCAGCTGGCTTGGTACTCACCTCGACAACTGGACCATAGCCTCGCAAGGTTAGACAGCACCCCGGTGGCCCTGCTGTCGCCCGAAGGCTTCCTCGTAAGAGTCACCAATACTAGTGTGAGCTGCCAAGGCCAGGCAACCTGTTTCTCAATCTGCTGAAATTATTGCACCAATTCCAACTCGCCTTGCTCTGGAAGCCAAATAAGATGTTTCTTACCCGGCTGCTCGATGCCCTTGGCCGAGGTGCTTTTCATCCTTATGATGCCCTCCTCCAGCGTCTCCAAATCGAAAGTAGGGAAGGGGGCTTCCCTGAAGCGGTCACGCGCAACGCTCAGAAGATGCGACACCTCCTTGATACCCAAGAAAGGACCACCCCACGTCTTTCGCCAGACCTTTGCACTGATATCCATCGCCGTGAGAGGATCGGAAGAGACATGCAGACTGTCCTCAAACTCGTCCTTCGACGCTGGCTTATCCTTGATAAGTCGGAATAACTTGCCAGGCGCCGCAATGTACTGCTCCTCCGCCCATTGCGAGAACGCAAGACACTGTGAGTGGCACTCCATTATTTGTAGGCTGCTGGCAATCTTGCTGCAGTCCTCCTTGTATCTGCGGATGGTGTCGTTCGTGGCAGAGTTCAACATACGAAGCTTCCTGCACCATGAGTGCTTCTCCTTCCTCGGCAGAGAGGCCAAGGTGGAAGTGGGTGCGCTCGCTGTCGCATCCCTCGGTCTGTTGATGAGCTTGCTGAACCTGGGGGCCTCACGTTGCGAGGTGGCCCTGTCCCTCTAGCAATAATTACCCTGTGACGTACCCAACCCATTTGTATCAATGGAAACGAGGAGTTGGCCGAAACTTGTATGGACAATCAACTTCATGTGTAAGCTACTTGGGAGGCGTCACTGTGCTGGGCCCCGCAAGCAGGCCTCGAAAGTGGCGACAGTTTCACAGATCGCAGCCCCCCAGGGATGGCGAGGTCCAATTTGAATCTGCGTGTGACGTCACTGTGATGGGCCCCTTCAGCAGCCCTCGAAAGTGGCGACAGTTTCACAGATCGCAGCCCCCCAGGGATGGCGAGGTCCCATTTGAATTTGCGTGTGGGTACCCCACTGTGTTGGGCCCCCCAGCAGCCCTCGAAAGTGGCGACAGTTTCACAGATCGCAGCCCCCCAGGGATGGCGATGTCAAATTTGAGTCTGCGGTGAGTACCCACTGTGCTGGGCCCCCCAGCAGGCTTCGAAAGTGGCGACAGTTTCACATATCGCAGCCACCCAGGGGTGGCGAGGTCTAATTTGAATCTGCGGTGGGTACCCACTGTGCTGTGCCCCTCAGCAGCCCTCGAAAGTGGCGACAGTTTCATAGATCGCAGCCCCCCAGGGGTGGCGAGGTCTAATTTGAATCTGTGGTGAGTACCCACTGTGCTGGGCCCCTCAGCAGGCCTCGAAAGTGGCGACAGTTTCACTGATCGCAGCCCCCCAAGGATGGGGACGTCTCATTTGAGTCTGCGGTGGGCACCCACTGTGCAGGGCCCCTCAGCAGGCCTCGAAAGTGGCGACAGTTTCACAGGTCGTAGCCCCCCAGGGACGGCGAGGTCCCATTTGAGTCTGCGGTGAGTACCCACTGTGCTGGGCCCCTTCAGCAACCCTCGGAATTTGCGACAGTTTCACAACTGGCAGCCCTCCAGGGATGGCGAGGTCCCATTTGAGTCTGCGGTGAGTACCCACTGTGCTGGGCCCCCCCAGCAGGCCTCGAAAGTGGCGACAGTTTCACAGATCGCAGCCCCCCAGGGATGGCGAGGTCCCATTTGAGTCTGCGGTGAGTACCCGCTGTGATGGGCCCCTTCAGCAGCCCTCGGAAGTGGCGACGGTTTCACAGATCGCAGCCCCCCAGGGATGGCGAGGTCCCATTTGAGTCTGCCGTGAGTACCCTCTGTGCTGGGCCCCCCAGCAGGCCTCGAAAGTGGCGACAGTTTCACAGAACGCAGCCCCCCAGGGATGGCGAGGTCCCATTTGAGTCTGCGGTGAGTACCCACTGTGCTGGGCCCCCCAGCAGGCCTCGAAAGCGGCGACAGTTTCACAGAACGCAGCCCCCCAGGGATGGCGAGTTCAAATTTGAATCTGCGGTGAGTACCCACTGTGTTGGGCCCCCCAGCGGGCCTTGAAAGTGGCGACAGTTTCACAGAACGCAGCCCCCCAGGGATGGCGAGGTCCCATTTGAGTCTGCCGTGAGTACCCACTGTGCGGGGCCCCCCCAGCAGGCCTCGAAAGTGGCGACAGTTTCACAGATCGCAGCCCCCCAGGGATGGCGGGGTCCCATTTGAGTCTGCCGTGAGTGCCCACTGTGCTGGGCCCCTCAGCAGGCCTCGAAAGTGCCGACAGTTTCACAGAACGCAGCCCCCCAGGGACGGCGAGGTCCCATTTGAGTCTGCGGTGAGTACCCAATGTGCTGGGCCCCCCAGCAGCCCTCGAAAATGGCGACAGTTTCGCAGATCGCAGCCCCCCAGCTGGCACGCAGCGGCGAGCGAGGCAAAAGGCAGGGGGGAAGAGAGGGACGGGAGGGGGTGGGAAGGAGACGCGCGAGCAGTGCTCTATTCAAAACGAGAACCCAACGCAGGAGGGTTGGGAAAAACAATTGTGGCCCACCAGTCCACCCCGGGGTCCCGAGTCCGTGTAAAAGGAGGAGAAGGCACAACTTTGTTGATCCTAACCGAATGGGTCATGCCTCTCCCACGCTGGGCTTTGCCGTCCTTGTCCAATCCCTCACCATCTAAACGAATATTGAAATAGTCCTCCACCTTGCTGACCCACTTGCCAAATAGGTGTTCCAAGGAGGATGCACTGTCGGTTGTACGATGCCACGCATGCGGGTCCCGAGCGTGACCAGGTGTTTTTTGGACCATATTTTGTCGTCGATGGTGGCGATCGAGTCCCACACCTCCTCTCTGTTGCGCAGAGACCACTTCTCGCCCAACCCTTCATCAGCTGCTGGTCGGACTAGGTCTAGGTCTGCTCCTGGTTCATCCTCAGGTAGTGGGTCTTCGTCGTCCTCCTCCTCGACTTCGCACTCCGACTCCTCACCCAAGTCCGTAGGACCCAGGTAGTAGAAGGGCGGCGGCGCCTTGATCCCCAATCTCTTGGGGGGCGCTCGTGATTTAAGGAAACCTTCGCCATAGTGACAGCAACGCGTGCGGGGATTTGCGAGGATGGCGGCTTGGGCGGGAGGGTGCGTTGCAGCATTTTTGATGAACGCTTGTTTCACTATGGCCTTACTCCTCCCCCCATCCTCCGTCTTTGCCCTCTTACCTTCGTCCTCCCCTCTCGTCTCTCCCTGGTCTCCTCGCGTTTCTCGCACTCACTCTCTCTTCCTTCTCTCCTTCCTCGTGCGCCCTTGCTCCCTGCCCTCGTCGTCCTCGCCGACGTCCTCCTCGGCATTCCTGCCCTCGCTGGACGCGCGCCGTCGGGTAGGGGCGCGTTGAGTTGCCCCTCAGGCGATGCTGGCCAAGTGCGTGGAGCCCTGCTCGGTGACCCTGCTGGCCGTTCCCCTGGGGGGAGGGGGGCTGGCTGACCGGGGGCCCTCTCCACCTCTTCCGTTTCCCTTCTTCCTTCTCCTTCCCTTCTCCGAAGCTGCGGACAGTCCTCCTGGCTCTTTCTCCCTCTCCTTCGTCTTCGTTCTCGTCGCCGTCGTAACCGTTATGCGCGGACGTCTGCGCAGTGCTGGTATACTGTCGGCTGCGAACCCATGGGGGGGTGGGCCTTCTCAGAAGGCTCAAAGGCCTCCAGCCTTCTCAGCAGTTGTCTAAGCCTTTTCCGAAACCGCGTCGCCTTTGAAAAGGTCTGCCCCCTTTCACTTCCCTTTTCGGCGCGCCGCCGATTGGCTTTTGCATCGTAACTCAGGCCTCCGGCGGCCGTTCGGGACGGCCGGGCAACCCGGAATGCCCTCGGCGAGGCGCAGCTCCTGGAAAGCGCCCCGAGGCAAGAAAAGTCTTTCGGGAACCATCGAAGACGTTAGAAACGCCGAAGTTCCCCCACTTGGCGCGCCGCCAGCTGGGCTCTCGCAAAGCGCCGCCGGGCAGGCGCTGCCCGGCGGGGGAGCCCCGCCAGCCGTGCGCGCGCGGCCGCAGGTTCTGACCATGTCATTCATGGCGCACTACAACGCGCCCGCACTCTTCGCCGGCATGCGGTCCCGGGAGAGTCCCGCGGGGTCTGCAGGCGCTCGTCGTCGTCGCCTTTGTCGCCGTCGCCGGCGCCGCCGCTGCCGCCGCCACCGGCATCTTCGTCGTCGGCGGTCGTCTTCGTCGTCGTCGTCGTCCCTGGGAGGCGTCCCCAGGTCAGCCTCCCAGGGCGCTGTGTGACGCGCCCCTGGGAGCTCTCGGGGGCAACCCTTGGAGGCCGCCGACGGCCTCCAGAGACACAAACAAATAGAGACAACGTCCGTCAAAAGCCTCGAGCCTCCCTTCTCCCTCCGTCGGCCTCCTCCTGTAATCCTTTTCCTCCTGCACCCGCCTAGCTCTCCAATCCTCACTCTCCTGCCTCTTCCTGCACCCTCCTGAGCCCTCCGCCCGCCCTCCTGCGACCCTCTTCCTCTTCATCCTCGTCCTCCTCATCCTCCTCCTCTTCCTTATGCCCCTCCTCCTCCTCCTCCTCCTCCTGCTCCTCCTCTTCCTCCTCCCCCTCCTCCTCCTCCTCCTCTCCTCCTCCTCCTCCTCCCTCCTCCCTCCCTCCTCCGTTTCTCCCTCCTGCTCCCTTCTGCTGGGGTCAGGCGGAGGCTCTCATGCCCGCCCCGCTTCTGGGGGGGGGGAGGGGGGCCGCCGCAGGCGCCGCCCAGCAGAAGCTACGCACCTTCTACGCCGTGGTCGCGGGCGCGTTCGCGGCGTCGGCCGTGCTGTACTCAGGCGCTGCCTTCAGGGGGGAGGAGGGAGGAGGGAGGGAGGAGGGAGGAGGAGAAGGAAATGGAGGAGGAGGAGGAGGAGGAGGAGGAGGAGGAGGAGCAGGAGGAGGAGCAGGAGGAGCAGGAGGAGCAGGAGAAGCAGGAAGAGGAGGAGGAGGCCCAGACCGTGCTGGTGGGCCAGTGCCCGCTGTGTGCATGGTGGCTCCCGTTAGCGACGGGGGCGGAGCAGATGAGCTGCAATCTCTACTTGAAGTCGATGCTCGGAAGGTTTCGCTTAAGCACTGCTCGGCGTGCGCGTGGTGCTGATGCCCGAAGCGCGAGGGCGCCGTCGAGTGGAAGGTTCTCCTCCGCTGCAATTCGAGGTGGACAGGATGGTCGGGCGGTCCGGCGTCGGCTAGGTCCGACGCTGCCCTCCCGCTGACTGCTGGGGGGGGGGGCGAGGGGAGGTGCTCGTCGGGTGGGCAGTAGAACTTGCATCGGCGCAGGGACATGCCACTTCAGGGGGCTCCGGTGCCTAGCCTGAGGTGTGGCTGCGTCGTCTTGGTGTAGCTCGGCCCCTCGTGCCTGCCAGAATTTTCCAAGAGGTCCCTCCGCCTCCAACCACCTTCTCCGGAGGCGCTTCGAGAAGCCCCGCCGCCTTTGAGAAGGCCGGCACCCTTTCACTTCCCCATAGGTGCGCAGCCACGAGACAACTCAGAGCATCCCAAAACTACCAGCAGACCTCTGGCACCCCCCCGCAGACGCCCTGCAACGCGGCCTCGCCGGAGCGACGGCCGCGGCTATGACGACGGCCTCAGCTCGGCGGTGGCGGCGGTGCTCTCCCTCCTCGTCCTCCTCCTCCTCCTCCTCCTCCTTCTCCTCCTCCTTGTCCTACTTCTCGTCGTCGTCCTCCTCCTCCTCCTCCTCCTCCTCCTCCTCCTCCTCCTCTATCTCTTTCTCCTCCGCCGTCCTCCCTCCTCCCTCCTCCCTCCGCCTCCTCCTTCTCCTTCTCCTCCTCCTCCTCCGCCCCCTCCCTGTCCTGCACAATTACGAACGTCATCAAGGAAGTTTAGCACCAAGACGGCTTCCAGAGTTGATCGATGGAAGCCAGGGGATGGCTTGCGACTCTCAGACGACGCTTTGGAGTCCTTCGCGGTTTTCATGTAGAGGGGAGAGAATATGGGTAAGCTCCCCGAGCACCTGAGAAACACCATCCTGCCTCAGCTCCCTAAGCCTGAGGGAGGGCTCTGCCTCATTGGTCTGCTACCCGATGCATTGCGTGTGTACAGCTCTGCAGTTAAGCACGTTCAGGACACTTGGAATCGGCAGCGTCAACGGGACTACGAGTACGCATGCGCGGGCAAACATACTCAGGTAGTCTGCAAGCATGTTATCATCACTGAGGCAACGCGAGCCTCAGACATGCAGGTGGCGGCTTCACCCATCGACCTGAAGAAGGCTTCTCAAACAACATACTACAAAGTATTATGGGACTTGGCAAGAAGACATGGGCTTCCACGGCTTCCACTCAGAAGGATGAAGATGCTGATGCAGTGCTACGGGGAAAAGAGGTCAATCAAACTTGGCAGCATGATGATCGAGGTTTATTCAACATATCTGTGTATGAGTGCTGGTTGCGGCTTTGCGGCCGTGGTCATCCAATTCTTCACTTTGGATGTTCACATCCTGTACTAGATGTGGCCTAACCTTGAGATGTCTCTGGTGGTTGACGACTCGACGCAGCAGGTCATCGAGGTGGTCATCAGCTCTACAAAGGAGGCGTGCCGTCTCTTCATCACTATTCGCATGATCGCCAGCGCGGGCAAGGAAGGGCCACGTGATGGCTTCCAAGGATCAGATCGCACGGAAGATCGCAGCAGCCTTGTTTTCGCAGCTTCTCCAGTCCAGAGAAGGCAAGCAGCTCGGGGTTGACCGCAGAATGGTGCGAGGAGGCAGGCAAGTGCAACACAGACGGGCCGTAATGATGATAATGCTAATCGCAAGGTTTAGCAGGCTGGCCAACGGGGACGTTCGCGATCCAGAATGTACCGAGCTGGTGGGCTGCTAGCTGTGACACATGGGATGCGCGTCCATGGCATTTCAGAGACCCAGCTGGCCAACCTCACATCGTCAGCTGTATATTCGATTCTCGGACCCCCTCGGGGCAAGCCACACAGTGAGGTTCATTATATCAGATAGCCCCAGGAGTGACCCGAAGTACGATGCCAGTGCCTGGCCTGTCGTGGCTTGGCTCAAGGCGATGTGGAAGAGATGGGCAAGGGCAGATCAGATGAAGTTGGCTTTCAAGTGCGCTGAGAGAGCAAGTCGGGGAATTGGGGCACAGTGATTGGACCAGCTGGAGCGGTGAAGACCACAGTGAGGAGGATTGGGTGGCAGGCGACCAGTTGGGCACACATGGAGGTTCTACAGGCATCACGATCGAGCTGCAGCTGCTTGGAGTCTACGCGCTCATGGAGCTGGGCCGACGCGAGGACGAGCACGCAGCTGCTGCAGGGAATTCAACACAGCCAAGACCTCGGCGGTTTTGTCGGAGCTCATGTCTTGTCGCCTGCTAGCGATACTTTGCATAAGCTCAGGAAGTAGAGGGATTACCGGGGAGCTGGACTCATAAGAAACGTGGCTAGCTGAAGGCTTTTGGGCCAGGAGCATTTATTTCATCATGGTGTTGCTGTGTCTCTTCTGTGTGCAGCCTGCCGACACGAGAAGGGCACTCCATCGCGTCGCGTGTATCGTTGCTTGTTTCATGGGGTGGAGCGCCATGGCTATCGTGGTGGCGGGCGCCGGCTGCTCGTCCAAGGAGGTCTTCAAAAAGGACCTGGGCATCCCATGATGAATGCTACTCGCTGCAATTTATTCCCAGTCCCAGAACATGATTCACGATACGGGTGCCCACCTCCTCAGAGTGATCGTGTGGTCTGGTAGAGGCTATTGACAAGGGGTTGTGTGCACAGATGATTCAGGCGCTAACCCACAGCATCCATTGTTGGCGAGAGCTGGCAGGTCTTGTTGCATGGTCGACGCTCTCGGGGATGTGCTGGAAGTTATTCTTCGGCCAGTGCTCTTTGCATGGGCCTGTTCTGGATCCGGTGAGCTTTGGGCTGCGGTCCCCGCGTTTAGGCTCAAGGGGCTAGGGAGCACCGCGATCATCAAGGATTATCTTGAGCTTTGCAGGGCCAGGGAGAAGGGTGGCCCTTGGGGCGCCAGTGCCGACAACCGTCTTGGGGAGTAATGGAGGGAGTTCTGGAGGTATGTAGAGTACATAGGCTGTCATCACATCGATACCCAGTGGATGCCCAGCCATATGGGCTACAACCAGATGATGATG